GGATAGATGAGGGTCTGGGGGGCTGGAGGTTCAGTGATTAAGAACATACATACCGGTTTTTGGAGAACTGGAGCGTGGTTCCTCGCACCCACGTGAGACAGCTCACATCTCTTGTTAACTCCCCTGAGACTATCTAAAAGCCGGTGGTGGCTTTGATTGCTAAGTGAACTAGCACACCGAGGGATGGAACGGGGTTGTGCACTCTTAGCAAGTTGCACAGGAATCGTCACAACTACGGATCAGACTTTGAGAACATTTATTTCTTGCAAAATGCCCATTTGTAGACCAAACATCTGGCTAGTTTTGATGGCAGAACGGAAAGAACCGAAGGAACTCATTTTGCGTGTGAGATCCCGGCTCCCATTGTAGTCGGCTGGAAGAATCTTTCAGTGAGGTAACCTTCCCATCGGGAGTCCACGTGGGAGCAGCGTAAGGCCCCTGTGCCGATGGAAGAAGACGCTAGCTGTTTAGTCAGGATCTTTATCCGGATTCGTCTCCTTGTTCCCTTTTGATGATGGGGAGTGCTTCATCCATGTGTGTTGATCCAGTGTTGGTGATCTCTAGATCACCAACAACATTGCTTTGCTCCTTGTGAAAGCAGCTATTGCCCTGGAGAACATTGGAGCTTTCAAGCCTTGTCTGTGAAAACTACTATATCTGTAACTCTGCTTAAAATACATTTTTTATTTATTCACATAGGTGCATGCCTATGTGGGTGGTATTTGTACATGCGTGAGTGTGTGTATCTGTGTGTGTGTGTGTGCGTGTGTATGTGTGTACAGGTCATACGTGTGGAGGACAGAGGCTGATGGCATGCCTGTGTGGGTGGTATTTGTACATGCGTGAGTGTGTGTATCTGTGTGTGTGTGTATCTGCGTGCGTGTGCATGTGTGTGCAGGTCATACGTGTGGAGGACAGAGGCTGATGTCAGGAGGCCTGCTTGATTACTGTCCACTCTTGTGGAATATTATTACATTCTTTTATGCTGCATTGTTTTGAGTCTGTGAAGCTGTGCTACTCTGCCTGTCTAAAACACATGACGGTCTAATAAAGAGCTGAATGGCCAATAGCGAGGCAGGAGAGAGAAATAGGTGGGGGTGGCAGGCAGACAGAATAAAGGAGGAGAAGAAATCTGGGAAGAGAGGATTGAGGAGCAAGAGAAGGCAGCAGCCACTTAGCCACACAGACAGATGTGAAATAAGAAGGGAGGAAAAGATATAGAGAAAGAGAGAAAGGTAAAAGCCCAGAGACAAAAGATAGACGGGATAATATAAGTTAATAAAAACTGCCAAGGAATAAGCCAAGCTAAGGCTGGGCATACATAAGAAAAAAATCTCCGAGCGTGTTTATTTGGGAGCTGGGCTGTGGGCTCCCGAAAGAGTAAAGTGTAAAAATAAACTAACAACAAAATTGTGGTGTTCCAACGTGTGTGTGTGGGACTAGAGTAAGAAACAAACAGAAAACAGCCACAACAACAACAACAACAACAACAACAACACCAACACCCACCTTAAGTTTCTGAGACAGTGTTGTTCACTGAGCCCAGGGCTCAATGATTCAGCGAGGCTGGGTGGCCAGTGGTCTCCAGGGATTGGCATGTCTCTGTCCTCTGCCCCAAGTTTATAAATGTGTGTTGCAGTACCTGTCTTCCTGTCTTCTCACATGTTGAGGTGTTGGGGATCCAAACTCAGGTCCTCATGCTTATGTGACGGGCATTGTACTGAGTAAACCATCTCCCAGGACCTGTAATGCCTGATAAGTCACTTACTGTCTTGGTGTTGCAATTTCTCACTTATAAGATGGGGAGACTAAAATGGGCCTCTCCCCACCCCGCCCCAGAGTGCAGGTCTTAATGTACGCGTGGCAGAGACTTGTAAACTGCAAAGGGTGACATAGATATGGGTTGCTATTGCTGGCGGCTCCTTTAACTCCCTTGCTCTCCCCCAGACTGCTTTGGGGGGAAACCTGTCTTTCGTCATCACTCTGATGTTGGTTCCATTGGAGGGCTTTCCTGAAAAACCTGAGACTGGGAATCACATTCTGGCCTTCCTTGTGATGGGGATGGTACCCGGCTGTTGCAGCCCATCATCACTGACGGTTTTTTCCAGACCCAGAGACCCTGGCCGTTCTCAGCAGGAGTTCAATTTGTTAATCACAATGTTATCAGGAAACGTTTGGAATCAAGAGCTGTTATTTGGCGACTCTATTACTCTGTTAGCTGATAAAAATACTTTAAAACTCTGTGTATGGTGTACGCTTGTGATTGTGTCTGTGCGCACAGAAGCGAGAGGAGGGTAGTGGGTGACCTGCCTCGTCAGTCTACCTTATTCCCTCCGTGGGCTATGCTGGCTGGACAGAGAATGCCTGGAATCTGCCTGTCTCTGCTCATCAATGCTGGGCATGCACGGTCATGTCACACGATCATGAGAGTTCTGGGGGTCAAGGGGGTCAGGACCTCTCAAGTACATGCAAGTGTGCTTACTTACTGACCACAGTTCTTCAAAGTGCTTTTTATAAAGCAAAGAATTCCAGGTTGGCAATGATGGGCTAGATGCTGAATTCAAGATCATCAAAGGGAGACCCCAGATGAGGGAGAGAGCTGAGTGGAGAGATAATAAGGGAAATGGGCAAAGAGCTTGGGAGAAAGTTCATCTGCTTCCAGATCTCAGAGTTGATTTCATTTCTGTTTGTTTTGTTACTGTTGTTTGTTTGTTTGCCTGCTTGTTTGCTTTTTCCCCATTAAGAAACAAGGCACTATGATGAAAATGTTTTTACTGGTAAATTCATATGTAACACACAAAAAATAAATGACCCAGAGACTAATATTGGGGTTCAAGCTTCATGCTGAAGGTCAAAGAAGCAAAGCAGCAGTCACTCTCTCTCACCTCTACCTCAGACCGAAAGGACTGATCCATGAACCAACTCTTCACCACTGCTGCTTTTCCTCAGCGTGGTTGGAGAACGAACGCCTCTCTGAGACCTTGCTTCTGATTAATATACTTCACTAATGTCACGATTAGAAGTGTGAGCTATAATTCTCGTTTAGACTGATTCAATCTTGTGTAGTTTTGGGTGGCCTTTGACTCACAGAATTCCGTCTATCTTGTAATCCTGAGTCCTAGGATTAAAGTTGTGTACCGCCACCTCCTAGCTTCTGGATCCTGGGATTAAAGGTGTGGGCCTGGCTTCTATGGGTTGTGGCTGACTTTGCTTTTCTGAATCCTCAGTCCAGCATTAATAAATCATAAATAATACATCACTATATTCATACAGTAAGAACACATTTAAACAATCTTGTGTACAGGCACAATGTCTGCCTTTTGGCTGCACTGAATTGTTCTAAGAGAAAAAGGAGGAAAGAGATGTCCCTGTCACTTGTGGATGGAACCAGATGGGGTCAGACCTGTGTGCGCTGTGGGTCAGAGAAAACATTTTCTAGAGCTTTCCTTTCAAGTCTCAAATCTTGAGCAGAAATCCAGCATTGAGGGTGTTTCTTGGGGAAGACTAGGTTCCTTCAGCTTTTGTGACCTACGTGAGCGAGTGGCTGGGAGACCCTTGGTGGAAGTGACTAGGGCGGAAGAAACAGGGCAGACACAGGACTCTGCTGCCATTGAGTACATTATGGGAGAAATACAGTACAGAACGCAGCAGGCTTCTGCAAACAAGGCATCCCTTTAAGTTAATTGGTGTTATATAGAAGCTGAAACGCTCCGCTTATTTACAAAGCTCCAGATTTATGTAAAGCAAAACCAATTACACTTAATGCCTAAACTATTCCAGGTGCTCAGCGATAATGTCGCCAGGCACTAGAGAAGAAACTGCCGTGTGAATGCACCCTGTTCCGAATGGAAGCTTGTGTAGTTACTGCAATTTAGCTAATCACAAGTGTCAACGCCAACGTGCGCATTCTCGGCTCCTCTACTGCTCGTTTTGGGTCAATTTTCTAATTTCTGCAGATCTTTCATCGCGGAGGAAGACTGAAAGCACAATGAACGCCCCCTTTTTCCTGTTACAATGTAGAAATTAAGAGGGCGAAGGGGAAGTTGGGGAAGGGCCAAAGTCACGCCAGGCCTTTTTCTAACAGCAAGAGCTGGCTACGGCTTTTCGTTTACACCATGATGAGGCGTTTGGAGCTTTCTTGATCTTCGGGGCGTTCATTATGAGACCAGTGCACTAGATACTGTGCTAACGAGGACCCTTTGGGGTGTTCATTAAGCCCAAAACTGCAAGCTTGGCATTTAACCTTTCCCAGCAAGGAAAGTCATAAGAGCATCAGGCTCTGCCCCACCGCTTTGCCAGGGATTTATGCAAAACAAAGGGTTTGAAAACAGGAAGAATCGCTGCCTGTACGGGCTAGACCTTTTTATCGAGTCCTCCAAACAAACCAGCAAATAGTGAATAGCTGGAATAAGAAAAATAACTGGTGTTTGACAGCTGCAAGAGCATTTAAAAATGCACACTGAAGCCCAGTCAAGTTGGCTACATCTTTTATCTCACAGCTTTAAGCACTGGCTGCATCCGTCACAGTCACTTGTGGTGAACTGGTAAACGCTCTAGCCCAACCAAGCAGAGTCCGGAAGGCCAAGTAGTGGGAGGGTGCTGCTGGGAACCTTCAACGTCTGGGTATCAGTATGGAAGAACTCAGGCAGTGTGGGGGCTAGGAAGAGTCACCTGGAGCAGGAGGCTCGAAAGCAAGCCTTGAGACGAACTTTGACAAAGGGACAGGGCATTCATTTTTGTTCAGCAACAATGACAATAATAACAGAAGTAATAACAGACTTCTGACATGGAGGCACCTGGCCTGTGATTCCAGTTCGTTGGTTTTCCTCGGCTGCATAGCTAAGTTTGAGGACAGCCCGGGCTGCGTGAGACCTTGCCCCAAACCTAACAAGACCAAATGAAACCAAACCAAGCTACCTCTATTTTAGTAACATTACCTTGAAATTCAGAAAAATATTTCCTTGCTCAAGATATTTTTAGAGGAATAATAAGGTCAAATATAGCAGGATTACATACACATTTATTATCTGCCATACCATAATCTATGGTCATAGTACCTAGAATACAGTAAAAACTTAGCAAACGTACATAAAGAACAATATAAACATAGTGTTTCTTAGTTTCTAACAACATTAAAATTACAAGTAAATATTACATGTCACTTTCAATTGCTGAACCATTGTAAAGGTTATACAATATGATTGACATGTAGACAACATAGAAAATGATCATTTTCTGGTCATAGAGTGATCACCACGATGTTGAAGTCAGTTAGTTCAAAAGCATACTATATCAATACAAAAGCAGAGCAGTTTCCTAGAGGGTCATAACTGTTTTCTGTAAATGAAGTATGTAGATCTCATTCATACTCAGTTTTTTTATGTTGACTTTCCCAGTAAAATGCATAAAGTGTTCAACCGAAGAAGAAAATAACGAATAGTGGAGCTCACAAGACAGAGTCAAGTCCAGTTTCATAGGGCTGTCTCCCAAAGATCAATACTTGACGATGTTTCCTGTGTACTGCCATAAAACTTCAGAGACTTCTCCCAGAGAAGAGTTTCACGATTTCCTCCACTGATGCTCTGGGCATTAAAATGATTTAGATTACAATATCTAAAGAAAGAAAGAAAGCCAGTTCTCCTTAGGAGCAGATGTAGATGACTTGATAAATCATGGGCTTCCCTCCCGCGCTTGCCTGCCCTTTATGACGGCACCTCAGGGGTCATTATTTAAGAGGCCGTCTTTGTACAAGGACGGGAGGGTTCTATTTAGTACATAGTAAGGCTTCTAGAAGGGCCTTTCCATAGGCTGTCTTATTATTGAGATAAGGTATTGCCATGCAGCCTCAGCTCTCTTGCGACTTTCTATGTAGTCTAGGCCTGTTTGAACAGAGACAATCCTGTTGCCTTAGCTTCCTAAATGCTGGGATTACAGGGTAGCACACACCATCACGACCAGCGTGTCGGTGATGTTTTACAACCACCTGTGAGTCTCTTGTGTGCTGTCAGTGAGAGAAAGCCTGAAATTTTATTGTCAGTGGGTTTCGTGGCTACTTGGATTCCGTGGGCTCATCAGACTTTCTGTAAGTTGTCCTGTATTCATCATATGTACCACGAATTTGGTGCTGAGACCATTGTCAAAGGAATCTTTGACCACATTTTAAACATGTCCACTGTCATCCCCTAACATCAGAGAAACTTACCTTTCCAGAATATCTTCTCCAATGTATTACTCTGGGAGGAGGGATTTTTTCCATTTTACACACTAGAAAACTAAAATTCAGGTGTAAAAAACTTCCTTATGGCTTACATAGATGTGGACAGAATTACACTTATTTATGAATCAAACCTGCCTTATGGCATAGTCCCTTATCTTTGCTTGCTGTAATCTCTGGTGTTGGACATTTTCATTCTTACTTCTTGCTTTTCACTACCCTCAAGCTCTCACTCAATAACCACAGTTATTTAAATGTTTTAGATTGGACAGCATCCTCTGTGTGCTAATGGAGTTTCCTTGGTTCAACATTGTCTCTTTCGTACCTGGAACAAGGCTTAACAGATTGGCTGAATGCATGCACGCACGATGAGCTGATAAATTAGGATTCCCAAGTAAGACTTACTTGGATTCAGTCACACTCATGGTCAACTAGGCCATACCTCAGCATACGTATAAGAAGAATAAAGCAGAAAAGAGGGGCTGTGTAAGGTCAAATCGGTAGGCACTTATAGTATTGCTAATTTTTTGAGTATTTACTCAACTTCAAACAATCTTGCAACACAATAAGAGGTGAAGAAACCAAGGCCTAGCTGGGCTAAGGAGTGTGTGGGTATTCACATTGCTCATACACTGGAATAGATCTTGACATCCCTGACCCTGGGGGCTGCTTCTGTGAAGAGCAAAGGCAAATTCTCTTTTCTTTTCTTTTTCTTTCATTTTTTTTTGAGACAGGGTTTATCTGTGTAACCCTAGGTGTCCTGAAACTCACTTTATAGTTCAGGTAGACTTTAAATTCAGAAATCCTCCTGCCTCTGCTTCCCAAGTGCTGGGATTAAAGGTGTGAGCCACTACCGCCCAGTCAAAGGAAAAGTCTTAACAAAAGACTATGAAATAAAAAAACGAAGAGGTGGTACTGGACTGTACACGCGGGTGGATGGACTCAGCTTCTGGGGTTAGAGTCAGTGGCTGGAGGGAAGGAGCATATGTCTTCTGCTGTCACGACATAATCTGTTTTCCTACAAAGCTACAAATCCTTGTTGGAATCTCCTGTTTTGAGATTGTGATTTACTGTTTCATTTGCACTCTAAGAGCCTGGCATTTGGAGAAATTCCAGGTTGTGGGAGAGAGATAGAACTTGTGTGCTTGATAGGGTAAGAAATACTCATCCTAAAGATCCCCCCTTGCAGGGTTTCAGTGTCTCCCATAATGGGCCATCAGCTCGGGGAGATCAGGGCTGTAGATGACACAGAACCATCTGTTTACTTTTGCCTCTGCAAACTTCTTGTTTGCTGCACCCATCTGTCACCTGGATGCTGATCCAAAAGATGTTTAATAGAAGAATAAAAGACTGGTTTGGGCAAGGAAGAGGTGACAAGTGGGACAACTCATGGGTAAACATCTACAGTAGATAGATAAACGGAGGCAAGTGAGGACAATGAAACTTGAGTTTCTGTGATGTGGTGCACATGGACCTTAACTCTTTAAGGAGTTCTCCCACTAAAAACCAGAGGTTGGTATACTGACATAATTTACATTTGTAAAAACTCCAGTGGGTTAGACAGTTTGCTCTCTGACACAGCTAGAATATGTCAGAAAGACAGAGGGAGGGAGAGGTGGGACAATCTATGAATAGATGGACAGCAGATAACACAAAGTTGCTTGATTCTTGGAGGTTTTTGGCAAACAGGCATGGAGTTGCTGAAAAATATTTTAATGATTAGATAGTATTTTGCATAAGTTAGCTGTAAGACGAGTGATATTATGCACAAGGATGACAACATTACATAATTCTGACAACTTAGGTGAGTGTCTAAAACAGTGGGTCGTGACCCCTACAGGATGTCTATGTCAGATATCCTGTATATCAGATATTTACATTATGATTCATGACAGTAACAACACTACAGTTATGAAGTAGCAAACAAAATAATTTTATGGTTGGGGGTCACCACAACATGAGGAACTGTATTAAAGGGTCGCAGCGTTAAGGAGGTTGGGAAACACTGCTCTAACAGATTTTCGCCTATTGACCTTGAAATGGCCACTGCTGATTTAAAAGCTTGAATGAAACCGAAATCTCTAGGGTCATTTAATTCTTAGCTGTTTGTTTAATGAGTTTTTTCCAATGGTTACCTGTAACTCTAAAGCAGCACTACAGTGGATAAAGGGAACCACACTTGCGTCATAGCATGCTCTAGAGTGGAACAAAGCACTTTTGCATTGTGAGAACTAGTGGATAAGGAAAGTCTAAAGGGAAGTTTTCGCTCAGAACAATCCATTCAATTTCTGCAGGATGTTAATTTGTCTCGTCATGGCATATGGGATCCCGTTGGCTCACTCATGAGTCTCAGACCAATATTTCACGGAGTCAGAAATCGTTCCTCTTCCCACACACTTACCTTCGTGAAGCCCTCCAGAATCCCAGGACGTTCAGCAGCGTCAAGGATGCCAGCACGAAGAAGAAGCCTTCTAAATTGCCTTTGTTTAATGCGTTTGGAAACCAATTGCCTGTTTGGAGCAAATGTGCAATTGTTATTCAGCTGCAGAGTTGCAGGTTTCTGTGAATATTTTATTATCCTGCAATTCATAGAAAGTTGTTTGCCTCAGTAATATTGCCTGCGTAAGAAAGCTCATCTGAAACTTCATTGCCAAAATTCATTTAATTCTGCAATTAATAGAAAAAAATGATAAGCATTGCACCCAACATGTCAGGCACCTTTCCCTGGGTTGTGATGGTAATCTTGATCATGATACCAATTTGTCTCATCTATGCTTGTCTTGCTTATTCTTGAGTCTCTGGTACTGCACCTAACATATGGAGTAAATACAAACTGAAGGGCTGAAATCTCTTTCTTATGATCAGATTGTCTTCGGCATATCTGATTGCTTACAACCAGTCAGATGACACATGCAGGTGATGGATATCACACGTTTTGACAAACGGAGTAATTCATTCCTTTTTGGAATTACACGCATGCACCACCACCATGTCTGCCATTTTGTGTGGATTCCAGAGCCCCAAACTCAGGTCCTCACACCTGCAGGACAAATGCTTCAGTCCCCACTACGTCCCCCCCACACAGCCATCTCTCCAGCTTCCTCAATGGATTCTGATGAATTACTTACAATTCAAATGCTACATAAAATACAGCATATGCAATACCCAGTTTTAGTCAGTACTCTAAAACCAGAAATATGGTCCCATATGATATGGTTTAAAAGGAAAATCCGTCTTTTCAGGGAAGGTCCGGCTGTAGTTCTGAGTGGCTAGAAAAACCGATACACTTTGACATTATGAGACTAGGAGCCCATCCTCTTTGAAGGTTCGAATGCCAGTGTCTGGGTCCCCTGCCCTTAGGGCCACAGCTTCTGGGGTGTTAATGAAGGGGGTCTGGGACTTAGCAACCCATCTCTATGCAGAAGGCCTTGATCTTCAGTGCTGCCCTTTTCCGTACTGCAGGATGCTTCTGGAACTATAAGGTGTCTCTCGGCCCCTTCCTGGGAAGTACAGACTTTCAAGTCGAATTTGGGTTATGTTGTGCTAAGTTAGTAACCTAAGTAAGATAACTGTGATTGAGTGTGAGACTTTCTGTTTAGCATTTCCCTTCTGTGTCCTTCACAAAAGAGACTAACAGCAAATGTCCTGGGCCTTTGGCTCTCACGATCCTTTTTTTGCCCTCTTTTTCGCAATGCTTCCTGAGCCTTGGGTGTGAGGGTTATGTTGTAAATTTATTAAATTGGGGCCAGGCTCCCCATAGTCAGGTGACCAGCTGTGTCTTTCTGTGTTGATCTCACTTTGTTGAAAACCAAACCAAACCAAACCAAAAAATCAGATGTAGTTGAGGGCTAGGGAGGAGTTGGGAGAAAGAATGGGAGATGGATATGATAAAAATACATTGTATGGAATTAAATATCAAAGATTTAATCAAAATAGTTTTTAAAAGTTTTACCATCGAAGGCAAATGGATGACACTAGAAGAAACCATCCTGAGTGAGGTAACCCAGTCACAAAAAGAGAAACATGGCATGTACTCTGTCATATATGGATTTTAGACATAGATCTGGGGAGTGCCAGCCTATAATCCTATGACCAGAGAGTCTGGGAAACAGAAACTTCATTTAGTGGCTGATCGAAGAAGAGGCAGACTCCCACGGCTAAGCACTGAGCTGAACTCAAGAAAGCCAGTAACAGAGAGGGAGGACTGATGACCAAAGGGATTAAGACTGGGCTGGTTTAACCCCCAGAAACAGCTGACCTGACAAAGGTTACTCTTGAATCCCAGGAATCAGCCTGGGAATCCAGCATGGCACTGATCAAGACCCCCTGAATGTGAGTGTCAGTGAGGAGGCCTAGGTAATCTATTGAGCCTTGGGCAGCAGATCAGTACCCATCCCAAGTATACACACGGACTTTGGACTCCCATCGAACAACGTGAGGTGCACTCTCACCCTGAACTCTTGGGAAAGGGTCTAGGCCCTGCCCTATATGAAATGACAGATTATGGACACCCCCATGGAGGGCCTCACCCTCCCTGGGGGAATGAGGGGATAATGGGGGGGTTGGGGAGAGGGCACGGGAGGAGGGGAGGGAAAGGGAGAGGGACCTGGAATTGACTTGTGAAGCAACCTTGTTTCTTATCTAAATTTAAACTGAAAAATAAATAAATAAATACAATAAAAAAAAGAAAAAAAGTTTTACCATCATAAAAAAGGTTTGATCATCAATAAAACTTTAAGTGGGTGGGGGGGAGCTTTTTCTTCTGTAATTTAATGTTCCACTGGAACATGCTTGTGCCCCAACCATGGAATTATCTTGTGTCTTGAATGCCATAGATAAAATAGATGCTGAAATGGCAAACACCTGAAATCCCAGTCCTATTGGGGCTGAGGCAGCAGGTTCACCAGGAGTCTGAGGCCAGTCTGGGCTACAGTGCCTGATGCTATCTTCAAAGAAAAGAATTGAGTTTGGTGCTGTTTTATAGGGTAAGCTACCACATTTCATTAATTATTATTATTATTTAGACTGTACATATACAGGTGTTTTGCCCTATGCATGTGTGTAGGTGTGCCATGTGCATTCAGTACTCTAGAATGCCAGAAGGGGGCATTCTATCCCCTGCGACTGGAGTTACAAAGAGTTGGGAGCTGCCATGTGGTTCTGGGAACCAAACCCCGATCCTCTGGAAGAGCAGCCAGTGAGCCGTCTCCCCAGCCTTTACCCATCTTCTTAATTTGTGCACCATTATACAGGAAATGCCTGATTCTGTTGCTATGGTGACACTATGATGCTTTCGTTTGGTGTTTAGATGAGTGGTTGCAGGGAGTATCTTCCTGTAGGTCTTTGAATGGATACTAAAGGCCCACTTCTCTCTTTCTCTTTTTTAATCTGCATTTCTGTGTCTGTCTCTCTGCCTGACCCCTATGCAAGCGCAGTTAGTAAAGCTGCACTTGAGTGGGGGAGTAGGAGGGTAGGTCAAGGAAAGGTGAGTTAACATCCCACTTCTTCTCAGAAAAAAACTCAGCTACTCCCCTAAGCCCATCCAGACAGCGCTACTTTCTTTTTCCCTTGAGTTAATATCCCAGTCATATTTCTGTCCTTTCCATTTCACTTCAGCACTTCACATGTCATGCGATTATACCATTTTATCATCGTGTTACTCTGGCTGGGGTAAGAGGTTGGCAAGGAGCATGTGAAACCTGAGAATTAACATGACATTAATTCTTCTTGGAGCATGAATTTCGGTCCATAGTAAGTAATTGAAAAGACTTTCTTTATATTATAACAAAGTCAAATGAGGGAGAAGAATATAAATTTTGAAATATCTTTAGAGGTAAAACATCATATTTCTGAGAGGTTTTGCAATTACAGCAAATACCAGCCTTTCGGGAGGCAGTACCAAGTCCCCTGGGAATGGCAGCATACTTCCATCTGTCATTGGGGACACAGCGAGCACAGATAAAAATCACTGTGACCTTGTATATAGGAATGTGGGGGAGCCAGATGGGAGGACACTGTCCTGAGAGGTTAGAGGAAGAAAGTGGAAATGTCAAGCTATTTGTCAAGCTGCTCCTTAAATATTTTGTAAGTGGGGTTACTTAAAAAATAAAATGTCAGATTGCCACATTAGCTATTCTAATTCCTAATTCATTCTCTCTCTCTCTCTCTCTCTCTCTCTCTCTCTCTGTCTGTCTCTCTCTCTCATATCTATCTATTATCTTTTTTTTTTTTGAGACAGGGTTTCTCTGTATTCTTTTGGAGGCTGTCCTGGAACTCGCTCTGTAGACCAGCCTGGCCTCAAACTCACAGAGATCGACCTGCCTCTGCCTCCCGAGTGCTGGGATTAAATGCATGTGCCACCAATGCCCAGCTCATCTATCTACTATCTATTTGTCTATTGTCTAGTTCTGGGGATTGAAGTTAGGGACTTACACAGACAGGGTAAACAAGTTGTCTACCAGCAGCCTATGTTCTTAGGCTGCTTTTTCCTCTATTCTTTATTTTGAGGTTTTGGTTCTAACAAATTTCTGGATTAGCCTTGAACTCACTGTGTGGATCACATGGTCCTTGAAAGTGCACTATTCCTGCCTTGTCCTCCGTGGGTAGCTGGCCCTGGAGATTACATCCCTAGGCCTCGCTCTGTATTCCTTCATAAATGTTTTAAGCACCTGGCTGTTTAAAATGATGGTGGTCTTCACATGTGCCCTACAGGTTTTCAATGCATTCTGATTTAAAATTCAGGATAAACTTTGCTTTTTGGTAAGAACCATGGTAAACAGAATCCTTGCTTGGACTGACAGCTTGGGACAAAAATCAAGCCTCAGGTTGGACAAGCGTCTTCATAAAAGCTAAAGGTTGCTTTATTTTTTATTAATTTTTTATTTAAATTAAAATGGCTGGTAGTGGCACACGCCTTTAATCCCAGCATCTGTGAGTTCGAGACCAGCCCGGTCTACAAAAGTTAGTTCCAGGACAGCCTCCAAAGCCACAGAGAAGCCCTGTCTTGAAAATAAAACAACAACAAAAAATTAAAATGGTCTTATTTTACATACCTATCCCAGTTCCCTCTACTTCCCATCCACCCACTACCCCCACTATTTCCCCAACCCACCCCCATCACTCCTCAGAGAAGGTAAGGTCTCCCATGGACGATCATCAAAATCTGTCACAGCTGCTGCGGAACCCTGCAGAGGGACCTGGAGGCAGAAAAAAAAGCAGCCAGCATCACTGGCCATAATCCGGACTTGCTCCTCCATCCACCAGTAGAGTAGAGGGAGAGACCACCCCATACCCACTGGAAGAAGAGATGGGAAGACGACAGTATAAAAACCACCAACAACAGAAAGATTTATATGACAACAACAGAATCTAGGGACTCTACTCCAGCAAGACCCGAACATCCCAACACAGATGAAACAGAAGAGAATGGCCTTAAAAACAACCTCATGAAAATGATAGAGGCCCTCAAAGAGGATATGAGAAAATCCCTTAAAGAAATAGAAGAAACAAA